CTGTACAGTGCTAATGAATACATGCTATTCCTGAACTATCACAAAATTCTGAGCCATGAATTTTGATCATGTTTGAACAGTTATTTATAGGCACAAACTCCCCTGGATTTTTAGAAACCCTTTTCATAAAAAGCTTTGTATCTTAAACTTTTCATTTTTGCTGTAACCCATTCACAATACTTTTATCACTTGTACACTCCTAAAACTCCATAGTTATATTTTATCAAAGATGAAGAAATAATATACAACTTCTTACTGTACAAAATATTGTAAAAAATGCATGGCCAGAAAACAGTTGAATGGATCTTGTCCAGCTGTTCCCAAGCCACTCATCAGGGAAACACCGGCCCCCCACCCCCACCCCCCATTTTACAAATATGTTTTTAAACCAGTTTTTTTCCCCCTCACCTTTTTTTTTTTTACTATAGCAGATTTCATTACTGCATGGCAGGATGATTCATCCATTCCTGGTCCACAACTTCCTAGATTTGGTTCTTACACCTGGAATCATGCTTAGGAGCTAGACTGTTGTAACTGCATGGAAGAGAACTTCTGACCCATATATATCATATATATCATATATACCCTACAAAAGATACCTAAAGAAATACCTACCTTCCTTGAGGGGGCTCCCTGGTAACTTTTATCCCTCCTTCCCGGTCAGCTCTTGACCTAAGGGGTGTGGGGACGGCTGGAGGATCAGTGCCTTGGTGTGCACTGGACCTCCCTGAGGACATGAGAGACTGTCCCCTACTGACAGCTCAGCAGGGAAGAGGGGAGGTGATGGTTAGGAGTTTCCTGACTCACTATCCAGAGCATGGAGATGACCGAGATGTTTCTGTGTTTCTGTGAAGAACAGGCTCACAGTCTGCAATTCTGGCTCTGTTTGCCAAGGGCAAAGGGTAACTATCTTACACAAGCTGTTTAGTCTTCCATTTATCTCCTATTTTCTGATTCCTTGGGAAGCTTCTCTTCATCAGCAGGGCTTTTAGCTCATTTCTTTGAAGTCTGATTTCTAAGACACTGTAAGTGTGCTTTGCAACAGTTCAAAGACCATCTTCTCTGCTTTCAGCAATTCCATATTGTACTGTAGTTTTGAATTATGCAATCAGTAATTTAACAGGAAATTTCTACTTTAAAGACTCTGTTTATTAAAGTGCAGATCTTAACTTCTTAAACCTTAACATAAGGAAACAAGATGCATAATGAATTCTACATCTATTACCTCAGAGTGCCATGAGTTAGGAAGATCAGATCTTTCACCTTGGATCCATTTGATCCCTTCAATTCCCTTGCCTGCGGAGATGCCCAGAGTCCAGATCTCAGAGGAAAGGGTCAAACCCTGCCAGAAAGAGATCTCATCTTCTTGTCTACCACCTAGAAACAAGTCTTAGATCCCAGGCCTGAGATTTAGCATCCCCAAAGTGTATCATACTGAAAAGGAAGTTTTGCCCTTTCCTCATTCATTCTTTCCCAAAGTGAGTTGTGCATGAGGTGGTACAAACCAGTGACACTGATAGATGAAAGAGTTAATATTGGTGGCAACCTGGTAGAAGAAAACCAGGGAAAGGCTTAGCTTGCCATCTGGAGCAGATAACTTTAAAACAGCCTGGGAAATGGGGTTGAAGATGAAGTAACTGGGATAAGAAACAGGCTTCCTCATTTTTTCAGTACAGCAATCTGGAGGCATTGCAGCTGAGCAACTTCTGGCAGCATCGCTGCACATCTGTAGCATCCATTGGAAAGTAAACAGCATCAGTGAGCTGGAAAGACTGTTTTCCTTACTGACTCCCTGCAGCAAATCTCTCCCAAGCTCAAGAACAAGAAAAATCTGATGTGTATTTTCCTAGGACTTGTTTGCATCTGTATTCATTGTTCTTTAGTATGTTATGCTTAGTATGTTTGACTCACTACAACCAGTTAATGTTCTATTGACTAAAAAATACAGTAGCTTGAAAAATTCTCAGAAATTAACTTATTTGGGAAGGAAGGACAGAATAATTCAGAAAAAGGGGAAGTGGTGCAAGACAGTGCATATTCAGTCCTCTTTTCAAAAACTTCTTCCCCAAAATGAGAATTGCTGGAGAATGCCTCTCTCCTTCCCTCCCTCTGCCGATCTCTCCCTTCCTTGAACCAAACTACAGGCTCCGGCAACAAGGCAGCTAGTAATAAACTCCTCAGCTGAACTCTAGGAAAGCAGCTTGGTCAAGGTTTTGCCTGCCAAATGCTGACCACCACAAGTTCCCAGCTACCAGCAGTGACTGACTGCTAGCCACGTTTTATACTTTATAGCCTTCTGTCCCTCAGAGCACATTTTGCTCCAAACAAGACCTCCCAATTCCAAATGATGGAGTCAAAGGTACTCGGCTCATGGTCCACCTATCATGTCTCATGTACATGGTGCATACAGGGACTTCTCCAATCACAATATATTAACACAACTTCTCTTGCACTACGACTCCTGAAACAAAAACCCCACTGCCGTTTTTATCCCTGCCCACACCAACAGGCTGTATAGGAACTGTGATGGCATTTCTACAGTGTCAGCCAGCAGACAAATAAGACTTCTTTCAAAATTACCTTTTATCAAGGCTTGTGTAATAAAACTTGGTTCTTGCCTTGGGATTTCCCCAAATCTGCCTTATTTTAGCAGGAAGGACACAGGGCCAAGAGGGATCACCGAGGCAGCAGGCATAATATTTCCTACCGATCAGGCAGGAGCTCAGCTGCATTTTGGCCTTAAGAGCAACTCTGGTGCTTCACTTGAAATGCTGATCCAGCTGTCCACTGAGTTTGGAGCCTTTAAAAGTCATGCAGGTCACCTTTCTGTCTGGAGGAGCTCAGTGCCAGGTGAGGAAGCAGCCAGCACTGCTGACGGCACGAGGCTCCTGCTCTCTCCAGAGGCTGCTCAGAGGCTGCCTGGAAATGCAGCGGAGACTGTAGAGATGGGACCACACTGAGACAGGTTTTCTGAAGGGGAAATAAACCCTTTATGGGACACAAAAGCATGAGCACCTACAGTCAGACAGCATGTATGCTGGTGCAGGGATGTGTGGAAACCAGGCTAGCCTAGCTCTTCCCTGAGCTGCCCCATGAAGCTGGGAAAGATGATGAGGGTATGGGATGAAGTTTGGGCTCCAAAATAGTATGGACAAAGAAGGCTACTTGGATTGGGACCCTACTGAATTACACAGCTCTCACCAGTGCCAATGTCTTGGCTTCATGATCCCCTTCCCCCTTCAGTCAGGCTCTTCTGTACTGCAGATACTTGGGATACCTCCCTGACCACAGCAATGTTGTTTCCCAGAGGCATGAGGCAGTTATGGTTGGTTCCTATGGATGGAACTACCCTGACTCCTCCTCTTGTGGTGAAATCTCCTCCTACCACTTCCAGGCTGCCAGTTCTCTCTTCCCTCCATGCTGCCCCAGCAAGCACAACAGCACAAACATCTCTGGAAATGGTTTTGTATTTCTAAGGGGAGAAATAACTCACCTTGGTAGCATGACAATAGGAAAGGAGAAAGAAAGAAATGATAGCAAATTAGCTTTCATGTCACAGCAGTGCATTTACTATCAGGACAGTAAGGATAATGGAGTACCCACTTCTCACTAAAATCTTGTTTACTGCAAGAGAGTGCTGACCAGGGATAGCCAGGTAGAGGATAACACCAAGGGAACTTGTTTTATAGCTGTTAATGAATACCAATTTTTTTTACTTATTTGGAGGTGACAGAAAACAGCATTTCTTTCTATTTCTCAAGATTTGATTTGCTTTTTTGCTATTCCAGGGCTTAATCACAACAACAACAACAACAAAAATGAGACAAACAAAAGGAAAACAACAAACAGAAAAGCAAAAAACCCTGTGTGCAGCCTTATGGAGGATTTTCCAAGCCACAGATGCTGGCTCTGTGGTTGGCGGATCTATCCAAAATAAAGCTCAACAGCAGGGAGCAGTGGAGTAGTTCAGGGGGTAGAAAAGGTCATGCGAATGTGATCCCCACCTCCCAAACTCCACATCTCCTTACGCTGCCTTCCCCTGCTCCTTTTAGGATAGAAGGAACTTTTATTTATTTTTTATTTTTGTTTTCAGCCTGACTTTCCTATCCACTTGCCAGCTGGGGTCATTGAAAGTGACTCTTGCTGCAGCCACTTTCCCAGGACAGAAGAAGTGAGGTGAACTATTATTCTGATGGCTTATAGGCAAAAAGGCACCAGTAGCTTTGTTGATGAGCCCCTTTGGCTGCTCCAAGACAGAGTTGGCACTTTGGGAGCTCAGAGGCCACCATGTCACCTTCCCCTTGCCACAGGGGCAGGAATTCTCCTGCCCTGGGCCGAATTGTTGACTGCAGAGACTAAAGTGTTCTCCCAACAGAGAGACCATAGGGGCACTGAAGGGTGCTAACCTCTGTGCACAGATACGTGGCACTACCCTCCTCACATGAGAAGGCCATTTTGGGTGAACAAACATAAAAAAAAGAGGAAAGTGGAAAAAGGTAAGAAAGTGAGTGACCTCTTTTTAATAATCTTTGACATCAGAATGCATTCATATCTTATACTTTTCCTTCAAGTGGAGTGCACAGCCTATGTCATGGCTCAGCTTCCAGTACAACTTCTGCAAGTCCACAGGAGATCCCATGAAACCACTCTGGGGAAAACCTACAAACTGCTGCACACCAGTCTGACCAGGGCTGAAGCAATGCCCAACTGGGCAGAGGACATGCAAGAGGCATGTCCCCTTTTTTCACAACCAGCACCTTCATTTCTTTTCAGGTGTGGGCTTCAATTTCCTAATGAAAGAACTATTTTGGAAGCCTTGTGTTTGCCAAGAAAATAAGCCAAGTCTAAACATCATACCTTCCTCTGGGAGGACATTGGATGTAGATGATGGGACTGTATCTCTATGTTTCAATGCTGCCAGCAAGAAAGATTTTCATAGCAAGTGTTTGATTTACCCTCAGCACTATGCAAAAGCAAGCTGAAAGACTGCTGTCACTTACCAAACCTCTTGTAGCCGAAGGACTGCACCTCCTCCTCCTCCGCAAAGTCGTCTGGAGAAAGACACAGCAGCAGGTTATTACTACTACCACTGGAAAAAGATGAGAAGTTTTTACAGGTGCATGTTCATGAATTAATGTAGCTTTACTTGGTTTGTTAAGCATGCTACTGCTCTTCCCCCTGCTGCTCCTATCCCACCTCTGTCTCCATATGCAGAAGGCAGCTCAGAGCCTTTGCCCCAAGAAGAATCCCCAGCAGAACTCTGGATTACAAACTGTGCAGATTTATCACCTGGCAGCCATCCCGAGGCCTGCTTGGCCAGCCAAGTGCAGACCAGAGGAGATATGTCCCTCATAACAATGACAGCCACAATTGCCAGCAGTGTGCCACTTGGTCAAGCTTGCCTGGACCACAGGAGTTAGAGGGGATAGTTGTCCATCCATCCATCCATCCATCCATCCATCCATCCATCCATCCATCCATCCATCCATCCATCCATCCACCACCTCCCATGCACACACTACCTTGGCCTGAAAATGTCAGATCCGATAAAACAGGGGAAACTGAACAGGTAAACTCAGATGAGAAAAATGAAAACAAAGATGGTGAAGACTGTGAAAGGTCTAGAGGGGAAGCTGCATGAGGAGTGGTTGAGGTCACTTGGTTTGTTCAGTCTGGGGAAGACTGAGGGAACACCCATGACTGTCTACAACTTCCTTGTGAGGGGAAGTTGAGGGGCAAACTCTGATGATAGGAATGAAAAGGGAATGGAAGCTGTGGGGAGGTTTAGGTTGGCTGTTAAGAGAATATCAGGCTCCCCAGGGAAGTGGTCACAGCAGCAGTCTGCCTGACTTCAAGAAGCATTAGAACCATGTGCTCAGATACATGGTGTGATTCTTGGGGCCGGCCTGTGCAGGGTTGGGAGTTGGATTTGATCATTCTTGAGGGTCCCTTCCAACTCAGGATATCCTATCATTCGATGAGTCCATTATGCCTTTTGTTCTCATCTTTACAGTAAGCAAGCAGTAATACACTAATAATCACAAGGTTATTTTGTCAGAAGCTGAATTTCTCTCAATTTCCTTCCTTCAGTGAAGGAAAAGGCTGGCATCAGCAAAAAAAATACACCCATGACTTTTAAAAAAAAAAGAATATATTTGTGTTCATGTGTTCAGCCTCCTTCCATCAAGACAACCCCTCGTTCTGCTGACTCAGGAAAGGCAAAAGCTCTGCCTCGTCACCAGCACCAGCCTCTGCAACAATTGCTGGGAGGGCAGCACAGCCCAGGCTGTTCTTCTTCCACTTCTGTATTTCCCAGAGGGAACATTTAATGACTGGTGGAAGAAAAGCAAGCTCAAAGCAGGTAAATGTGTGATGGAGTGAGAAGTCTGTGTTTAGTTAGATGTCTTTTTGCCCACAGACTTACTGCACATGACGGGGCTGCTCTGCATCATGAAACTGGGCTAACTGGTGCCACAGCTAACTTGGGACAGCACAGAGCCTTGGGGGGTGAATCCAGAGGTAAAGATACAGTCTGCATCCAGGCTCAACAAAGCCTAAATGATTTGCATGCATGCCTCCACTAGGAAATCTGACTTGTTTCTCCTTCTGACCTGTGAGGTGCCACACACAGAAGCCTGAAGGAGACTTTGCCTGAAGCAGCAGTGGAGTCCATGAAATGCATCACTTTGCAGAGTATCACCCTTTACTCAGACAGCACTATTGATTAAACAGCTAAAAACATATTCTTCACCAGGTACGACATTTTGCTTACTGCCAGCAGCGTTCCTGTCCATATCTTTAGCTAGACTACCAGTGCAGATGTGCATTTAGGAAGTGGAAGAAGAGCCAGTGGATGCTCCTTAGGCAAAACAAACATCCTGGTTTTGAAAAAAAAAACAAACCCCAAACCAAACAAACCCTCAGAACTGTCCCAAACGTTATCTGAAGAAAAAGGCCCCAACTGAACATGACAAATACTAATAAACCATAAACAGTCAACAATCAACTTCTCATCGCAGTAGTGAGCTACTCGGGAAAGATCTTCCCCTCCTGCACAAAAGATAAAATGCTGCACAAAATAAGATAACAGCTCCAGAGACCTTAGCTTCCTGCCCTCTCCTGCTATCAGGCTTCAACACAATCGCCTCCTTTGTTTGTCAGGAGTGTAACCTGGCTTATCTGATCAGTATCTGATGTATACAGCCAGGCCACCTTTAAATCCTGCAGCTTCATCCCACACCACATCTCCAAGACCTTCCTCCCAGGCTGACAGCCCCTTCCCCAGTCTTCTTGTTTTTCATTCTTAGACCAACAGCATTGGGTTTTACAAGTTTAATCACATTTTTGTTTCTTTGGCCATTTCAGTATATGCAACATGTTTATGTATGTACATTTTATACATTTCTATACACACACATACTTTTATATATATGTATATGCTTTTCAGTATTTGCAATGCAGCATGTTATTCATTCTAGGGATGGGTTTTTTCCTTAAGCTTTGAATACATTATAATTATTCATTCACCTCCTAATTCTAAAGAGCACTTCTGATATTTGAAACGAAGAAGTGGAGATGGGCAAGGGCAGTTATATCAAGTGGTAACTTGTCTCCCTGGTCAGTAAAATCTCAAACATCATCCCTGTGAGTTGATCTTGCAAGGGGCAGTCAATGTAATTTTAGGGGAAGCCTATGAAAATTATTTAACAGAAATAGCTCAATATTCTTTCAGTCACAGCTGCAACTTTGCTGAAATCGTGCAAATAAAGCACTTAACAAAATTAACGATAATGTAAGAAATTAATAAAGCAAGCTTAGACTAAACATTCAGAAATTACAGCACTTTGGAAAAAGAGACTAAGATGGGTTGAAAGTCCTACCTCAGAAGAAGTTGATGTTTGAAATATTAAAAATTAAGTTGACAAACGAGCCTGTAAATTTAAGTCCCAAAGCAAAGCCCTGCACCCAGCCTGCTCCTCCCATGCCTGTAGGGCAGTATTGTCCTCACTGGAGGCAGCACAACCTTAATCCTCAGCTCCCTGTTCCAGTGCTGGAAATATTAAAATTTTTTCACAAGTTCTACAAAAATCTCAAAGCTTCCTGATATCTTCAAATCAGCAGAATACAGGAGAACCTAAGTTTCCATTGAAAAGGTAACAGCTTTTCTAGTGAAAACTATGAAAATGTGATCTGTTATGAATTACAGAGGTTAAGAAAATATACACCAAGAAGGCAAATACTATGAACACCTTCAGTATGTTTTAATGATGTATGCTTTTAAAGGCAGTATCAGAAATCATTGTGGCAGAAATTCATGAGCTCTGAGCACCAGTGATTGATCTTAGAAACGGAAATTCTGCATTTTCACATCAGTGGTGCCCATACTTGAGTGAGTCTGCAGCTGGTGTAGGAGGGGTTTGTTTGACATTGTGAAAGCCTTAAGTTAGAAATATTTTTCTTTAGTGTAAGTCCAGTCCTTCTCAGTTACAAAGAGGACTGGAATGAATGCAGTGTTCCTGTTACATACATGCATTAATACGCAAGCAAGGCTTATTTTCATGGGTGAAAAATATGAAGGGCCGACTCCTCCTTGAAGCAGACAATCAAGCAGAATTTGTTATGTCCTGGTCACAAGAATGAACTCTTCAGTATGGGGAAGATCAACCCTAACTCAGTTGTAAGCCATTCAGCTGAGCTCTCAGCTGTGAACAAAAATATAGGGAATCCAGAATAAGAAAGACAAAGTGACTCTTATTCCACTGACTTGTACAGAACTCTGCAGGAAGGTCCATAAAAAAGGTGAACTTTGGGCAGAACAGAAACATATGTGAGCAACCAATTGTATTTAACCATGCAGGGGAAGGGACACTAGAGATGTCCTGTTTTATTGGGTTTACAAGAGTCTCCTTGAATGCTAGGACAGATTGCCATGGGGAGCTTACAGCAAACTGCACCAAATCATTTTGTCTCACTGTGGCTGAACAGCAATACATCAAATATTTTAGGGAGTCAATGTGAAGCAGAGTTCTAGTCCAAAAAAGTAAAAAAAAAAAAAAAAATAAAATAAAAAAAAGCTTTGAGGTATTTTGGCAATATCCATGGCCCATTGAGTACCAATGCCAAATTCCACCTGCCTTCCAGTTATAAGCTATTACTGCAACACCTCTAGTAAATACAGTTGTAGAGTTAAATAAGTTACAGTACAATGCTTCAAGGGAGTGGGAATTATGAAAAGGCAGTTCAGCTGGGGATTAATGCAGCGAACAGAGGGAATTAATCTAAAACAAATTAGACTCTCATTTGATTAATTTGCTAGTGGCAAAGTAAATCTGTGGAGTAGAACTGTTTAATTTCTTGTTTTTGTTCTTAAATCTTAAATAAATTAATCATGGATCACTTATGAGTCACTCTAAGGTCAAGTAAGAAAGAGCTGGCCTGCAGCCAAAATGGATGCTAAATCTGCCCCTGAGACAATACAGGGCATAAAACCACGGCACCAGATCTGAGCAGCCTTTGGTGCAAGGTGATTTTAGGGGAGTTGTTTTCATTTTAGCCCCCTCCCTTCATGGGTGTCGTTGTTGGCATATGGAAGGTGTTAAAGAAAACTGCTAATGTACGTGTCCAGCTGTCTCCTTTTAACAGTACACCTTGCTGAACCATTTAAACCTAATTAACTAACAAGGCAAACAAGACCTCAGAACCATTAGAGATGCTGGGTCATATGGTGGCTGCAGACATGTGGTATCCAGTAATTTTGAGAACACTTGTGGGCTGCAAACATGGATACAAGGTCCTTGTATAAAGACCTCGTCTGAAGTATTAAATAAAGAAAGTGAACCAATATTCTACATTGCACTTCAAAATCTGGGAAAATCTATTCCAGGAGAGAATGAGGCATCTGGTATGAAAATTGTCATGCCAAGTTTCAGCTCAGATTTTAGAAGTTCCTTTATAACCCCCTGAAACCTCAAGTTGCAGTACATTAGAACTTACCCCTAATGTAAGGGATAAGTTACCTAACTTACCAGGCTGGGAACTCAGACTGTAAGGT